AAAACATACATAAAATAAAAGAAAAACTATAAAAGTTTAATTCCTTCTTGAGCAACAATTCGTACATTATACCCATATTTCTCCAACAAATTAACCTTTAACATTCTCTTAAATATACACACTGATCTGGTGTCATCTTCCAGATTATTCCATAATTTAATTCCCTGGACTGAAGTACTCCGTTCCTTCAAACTGGTCCTAATTTTAGGTCTCACCAACATTTCTATCCCCTTCAGATTGTAACAACTCTCTCTTTTAACAAAATGTAATTGGATGTTTGAAGGTAATAACGTTTTTATGAGCCCGATACAAAACTGATAAAATACTATGATCAACCAAATTTGAGAATTTCAATAACTTCAACTGATGGAACAATGTATTTGATGGGTGATATTAATGTTTTCTGGTAATAATTCTTATAGCTCTGTTCTGTAAAATAAAAACAGGATTTGTTATTGTTTTACATGCTTTTTCCCAAACATCAACACAATAAATTAAATGTGGAACAATTATTGTATTATACAACATAAACAGTGCTTTATCATTAAATAAGTCCTTTACTTTACACAGTACTGCAATGGATTTGGCTATTTTTGTTTTTAAATGATTTATGTGAGGTAAATAAATCAAACTTGGTACATTTGCAGGATGAGAACATACTTGCTGCAGAGAAAGGCACCGGCTGCGGATGCCAGGCCTTGGTGGGAGGCGTAAACCAAGGGATAAACGTGTCCACACTCCTCCTCTTTCAATCCTTCCTCTGCAGCCCTGGAAATGTTAGGACAAACAAATTGGTCAGTTTTTGCTCATTAAATAAACAAAAGCCATTTAATTTTGCTTCGAGCTTTAATTACAKTTTTACATTTGCATTTACATTTTGAATTTATTCAACGTTTTAGCTTCTGCTATAAATCCTAAGCGGTCATCCCTTGTTGGTTGAGTAAGCTTCACTTTTTGAAGTTACTGCTGGAATAAAAACAGTTTAACACACATCTAAACTGCAGCTGAATATGAGTTTATGCTAATATTTATCCTCAACACGACCATTCTGATTCTTGTTTGTTGATCTAATTCTGATCACAGACACATTGTGGGGTTGGGTCACCAAAAGTTGAACTTCTGGATGACAGAAAATATGCAGGTAGGCGACAGATGTTGACTTTCCCAGCAGAGAATTGCATTTTAACAAGACGAGCAGCGTAACTTAAGGCACTGAAAGCAAAATGAAGCTCAGAATTAGATTTAGCTTTAGGAGAGTTAATATAAATATATTCAGCTATTTTTATTCTCTTAAAAAACAATAACTCTGAACTGCACAAACAAAGACAGCAGCACAAAGAAACCACGAGAGAGAAAGCTCTCACTGTTGGATCATCAGTAACAGATTGACCACTTCCATTGCCACGTCTGGGTCTTTGTCCAGCACCATGTTGAGAATCCTTTCCTAAACACACACAGACATTCGGTTATGCACTGTAACACACACACAGACTAATGCATGATCGTGCCAGCACACAAACACTTCATGCATATTAAATAATGTGCACTGATATGCATAAATGTACCCACTCCCACAAAAGTGACACACACACAAGCCCAGTGATTAGGCAGAAATCCATGGCAGAAAAAGACAATTTATCTGCAGCAGCACATGTGGCTTAGGAGGGTTTTCATGTGTTTGAGTAGGGCTTATTATCTATCAGTAATTGGCAGCAATTAACAAAAAAACAGGCACGTGCCCAGACAAAGGGTGGAACCATAACAACAAACAGAAGTGGTGCAAAAAGAAAAAAAAATTGAAAAGGCATGAAAATTCAGGGAGGAGGCAAAAAAAGGGAGGAGAGACACAGACAGGCAACAAAGCAGTAAGCTGAAACAATAGATAGACAAAAAAACAGGGGTGGAAAAAAACATGCATTAAATGAGACATGAGTCCAATCCAGAGGGATGCCTCACTTTAAATCTGCTAGTAAAAAGCTCCAGGCGACCAATGAACTCCTTCTCCTGGTACAGACCCTGCAGGGCACGCACACACTGCAGACGCACTGGACTTTGCTAGAAGAAAACGGAAAACAAAAGTACAGTAACAAGGTTTCTACACCTAACACACACAGATGAATCTATTCACGGTAGACGTTTCACTTTTTATTGCAAATTAATTAGCGGTGAGGTCAGCAGGATTATGCTCAACCAAAAATGTGAATGTTATTAAACTTAATGGAAACATCATAGTTAAAATTACACATTCAAATCCAAGATAACATTCTTCTATTGTTTTGTTTGTGTTCACCTTGTCATACAGTGTCCATCCCAGATATTTCAGGCATCCATCATTGAGGAAGTCTTCAGGGTCTGTTGTCATCCACAGGCCCAACTCCTCAATGCACGCCGCCCGGATCGCAGGCAGGCGGTCGCGGTAACGATGTACGAAGACGCCGCGGAAGATGGAGTTCATCATGGAGGAGAGTTCCTCTGCGTTCTCTTGCAACTGCAACACCCACACAGAACGGAATCAGCTTAAACACATAAACACAACGAATACAACAATATTTCATGCATGAGATCTGCTTACTCTCTACCACAACTCAAAACATTTTTAAGAATTTCTAGAGCTCTTTTAAATCTGATGTTTTTTTTTAATCTCAGGTCTGAACACGTGTCTGTATCGCTGTCAGCCTGCGTCACCTCGCTGACAGTTGCCTTCAGTTGCTCCAGTTTGTCCGAGGCTCTGTCAGCTGGTCTCTTACTGTTCTCTGTATCGTATCGTCGTTGCGTGGTCTGCAGCTGAACAGCTACTGTAACAGCTACTTCCACCAATGCCGACATCAACTTCATGGCTAACAGAAAAAACAGAAAAAAGTTATTTTTTTAGGAGTATATGTCATTTTAACCTGTTAAAGTGCCTGTGACATGCATATCCATGAAATACAAAAAGTCAAAGAAAACATCTTAATATTTAAGAAACTTGGCATATACACATGACTTTACCCATTATGTCACATAACTGGCATATTTTCTTTTGAACTTGGCTCAGACAAAGTGAAACAGGAAGTGACGTCAAAGGGGAACTCTTCGAGAAAGAAAACTCTCTGGTTTTTGTTTTTTAAATATGATTTACAGTAATTAAAATAATATAAAGAAACAGATTCCTCTCTACAGTCTGTGTTGTTAGCTTTTATTACAACGCTCTGTTCACATTCAAACATCCCCCTTTGACATCACTTCCTGTTACTTCACATGCAAATATCTCAAGAACTGCTCATCTCAGCTGCATGAAATCTTTTTTACAATATGTTGTTAATGTTACCTTTCCAAAAATGCATTCACATTTATTACAAAAATTTGATGTCACAGGCACTTTAAGTAAACAAAAGTGGATGGAAACAAAGCTAACAATCAGCACGAGAACGGGTGATATTTGTTTGTGTTTATTTGGGCCTGTAAATCATTGATACGTACCCAACAGAGTGCTGGTGTGTCTGAAGGCTCTAACTTGGGAGTCAGACAGACCGGTGAGCAGAGCCAGCAGGGAGGGGAAGAGGTATTCATCATATATCAAGCTATTCCGACAGGAGCGTACCAGAACCCGAACGGACTCACACAAACCGGCTTTGAATCGCTTCAGCTGAAGACCATGTGTGCTTAAGGGGTAGTTTATCGAATCCTGACAAACAAAAATATTGGGAAAAAAAACAAGAAAAAGTAGACAAAGAAAATGTAGTTTATATAAAAATATGGGTAGAAACCTGTTTTTGTTCCTCCTAATGACAAAAAAAAATCAGTTGATTAACTCAATAATGTGTTCATTTATAAACATTAGATAGTAATGAGCATGTTCCATCATGCTGTGGACATCTTTCAGACATAATCTCTTGAGACACGGAGATTAGTAGCGTTTCGAAAATATTTGCAGAACAATTAATTTTAGAGAGAAAACCAGTAAAGATTATTGCTTCCATAGCTGTGAGAATAATGTTTATTTTTGAGACTAATTTTAACAAATATGAACTATGAGTTAAGAGAAATCTTGTCGCACCTCATTAAACTCCCTGGTTAGTTTGCTGATGATCTCAGCATTCTGCATGCTGTCCAGCATCTCTCTGCTGACCACGCCTGAACAAAAAACACACAACTTTCACATTAGAATCAATCCCAAAAATCCCTAATTTAGAACTTGTCGTTTTTATCCCCTCTCATTTATTTTCAAACTTTATTCATTTCTTAAAGCACAAAATTTTATTCTACAGTGGGGAAAATAAGTATTTAGTCAGTCACCAATTGTGCAAGTTCTCCCACTTAAAAAGATGAGAGAGGCCTGTAATTGACGTCATAGGTAGACCTCAACTATGAGAGACAAAATGTGAAAAAAAATTTGAGAAAATCATTTTGTCTGACTTTTAAAGATTTTTTTTTGCAAATAATGGTGGAAAATAAGTATTTGGTCACCTACAAACAAGCAAGATTTCTGGCTGTCACAGACCTGTAACTTCTTTTTTAAGAGGCTCCTCTTTCCCCAACTCATTACCTGTATTAATGGCACCTGTTTGAAGTCGTTAACAGTATAAAAGACACCTGCCCACAACCTCAAACAGTCACACTCCAAACTCCACTATGGTGAAGACGAAAGAGCTGTCGGAGGACACCAGAAACCGAATTGTAGACCTGCACCAGGCTGGGAAGACTGAATCTGCAATAGGCAAGCAGCTTGGTGTGAAGAAATCTACTGTGGGAGCGATAATCAGAAAATGGAAGACATACAAGACCACTACTAATCTCCCTCGATCTGGGGCCCCACGCAAGATCTCAGCCCGTGGGGTCAAAATGATCACAAGAACGGTGAGGAAAAATCCCAGAACCACAAGGGGGGATCTAGTGAATGACCTGCAGAAAGCTGGGACCAATGTTACAAAGGCTACCATCAGCAACACACTACGACGCCAGGGACTCAGATCTTGCAGTGCCAGACGTGTCCTCCTGCTTAAGCCAGTCTATATCCAGGCACGTCTGAAGTTTGCTAGAGAGCATTTGGATGTTCCAGAAGAGTATTGGGAGAATGTCATATGGTCAGATGAAACCAAAGTAGAACTATTTGGTAAAAACACAACTGGTCGTGTTTGGAGGAAAGTGAATGCGGAGTTGCATCCAAAGAACACCATACCAACTGTGAAGCATGGGGGTGGCAACATCATGCTTTGGGGCTGTTTCTCTGCAAAGGGACCAGGACGACTGGTCCGTGTACATGAAAAAATAAATGGGGCCATGTATTGTGAGATTTTGGGTGCAAACCTCCTTCCATCAGCAAGGGCAATGAAGATGAAACGTGGCTGGGTCTTTCAGCATGACAATGATCCCAAGCACACTGCCAGGGCAACAAAGGAGTGGCTTCGTAAGAAACATTTCAAAGTCCTGGAGTGGCCTAGCCAGTCTCCCGATCTCAACCCCATCGAAAACCTTTGGAGGGAGTTSAAAGTCCGTGTTGCCCGCCGACAACCCCAAAACATCACTGCTCTAGAGGAGATCTGCATGGAGGAATGGGCCAAYATACCAGCAACAGTGTGTGCCAACCTTGTGAAGACTTACAGAAAACGTTTGACCTCTGTCATTGCCAACAAAGGATATACAACAAAGCATTGAGATGAACTTTTGTTATTGACCAAWTACTTATTTTCCACCATTATTTGCAAAAAAATTATTTAAAAGTCAGACAAAATGATGTTCTCAAAAATTTTTTCACATTTTGTCTCTCATAGTTGAGGTCTACCTATGATGTCAATTACAGGCCTCTCTCATCTTTTTAAGTGGGAGAACTTGCACAATTGGTGACTGACTAAATACTTATTTTCCCCACTGTATATACAATAAAAAGAAAATACAAATAAAATGAAATAAAAGGGGCAGATATAAGATCTTTGTCTTCTCAAGTATAAATTCAAACAATAATAATCTTCAGTTAACAAAACAAAAACATCAAATCTTTCTAGAACAACAAATTATATGAATACACATTATACTGTTTCATATTTTTAACGATCTAGCCAATCTCTTTAAGAACATACACAGAATTATGACAGCACCAAGATCAAAAGCACAAATTATAACCTGAGCTGAAAATGGAAGGACAATCTGTTCAACCCCCTCCCACCCGCCAACACCCATCTCCTGGCCGCATGTTTAACCTCTGACCTTTGCATCCGCAGCACTGAACAATGAAGTTGATGAGCACCAGCAGGCCCGCCTCTCTGCTCTGTTTGTAGATGTCCAGCCACTCATCCACCACACTCTTTAGATTGACAGGGAGAAAGCAGCGAATCAGAACGCAGCAAACAAATCAAACAGCAGATGAATGTAGTTAAAACACAAGAACAGAGATTTTAGCTTTATGTGCTCAGTCTACAAACAGCTTCTATGATCTATGGTTTTACAAGAATTACTTTTTCCCTTTATTATGTGGCTTTTCTGGCAACAACACTGGATAAACGAGTGCTGTCAATCATGAGTCCATGATCCCAAGACTGCTTTTTCTTCTGCTTATCAAAGTTAATTCTCTAGGATCACATCAGTCAGACACCGACAGCACATTATAATCTCTCACTGTATGCCTGTTTCACTTCTAATGACATATGCCTCCCTCAGTGCGTCCCTCCATTCACACAGTCATCGCTATTGATATCTTCCTCTCTCCTCTTTGTTTAGGGTTTACTCACCACCATGGCACTTTTTCCCGAGCGAACAGCGTCATAGATATTCTTTGCACTGATGCCCTGATTGCTCACGCTTCTCACATGTCTGTTAGAAGAGAGCTGTCCCTGGGAGAGAGATTGCTGCAGGGAGGGCTCTGGAGGACTTGAGACAGGGCTGCTGTTGGAGCTGGACACCAGTCTTAATGCAGCGTTCTTCCTGGGTCTCTTAGGCAGCTTGACATAAACAAGAATTATTCAGAAATAAGTAATTAATGTGACCAAATGAACTGTAGATTCTATTGTGAGCAACTTTCAGTCATTTTAGCATGGTTTTGATCATTAACTACAACTGAAAATACATTATGCACTTCTGTCCAGCACAATAACAACACTGACTTTAAATAAGACCAATGACTCTTGGCTAAATCTAAAAGAAAAAGTTAATTTAGAAAAATAAAATACCTGAGGCCCAGGTTCTGCCTGCTTCCTCCGCTTKGTTGGTTTCATCTGAGGCTCATGAACGCTTTCAGGGTCTGAGGAGTCCAACTCCTCAAGACTGACAGAAACATAGAAAAAGATAACTGAGTTATAACAAATCTCTAAGAAGATCAAAAGACTAAAGAGCAAAAATACATCAAAATTATCTTAATAAACTTATGCATTTTAGTTTAATTTTTATTAGATATTAGTATGGTTTTTTGAAAATATGTGTTAAAGAAATCTCTTAACAAAACATTCCGATATCTTGATTTGTTATTCAATGGACTATTTCGCGGATACCGCCATCTTTGCCTAGCGCCGGGGTCTGCAACCTTTACAACTGAAAGAGCCATTTCTGCTACTAGATGCACTAATAAAAGATGTCCAGAGCTGCAAAACAAGCTACAAGTGTGATTATCAACTGGTGGTCCGTGGGCCTTTGCGGGAACTTTTCTGGCCAGTAGAGGTGACATTATAAAAGTAAAAATTATTTTGTGAATTTTATTATTTTTACACATGAGGACAAATGAAAAGATTATATTCATGTATAGGTGTATGTATAGGCATGGACTATCTAAAAAACGTGACCATATAATGGTGTACGGTTTATTTATTAACAAGATTATACACCATACAGAAAGCTACAGATCACAATAACAAATGCATTTACCGCTGTTAAAACAAAAACATGTGTTTTGAATTTATATTTAAGCCAAATTTGATGTGTGGTCAAGGACATTTTATAATCAGAATTTATTAAATCGTAGGTCAGCCTGCCTCAAGATTATATTTAGATTAAATTATTATCACCCAGTCCCACTGCTCATAATGCTGTTAATAAGTTCACTGTATACTGGGATTTTCTCTGGCAATATATTTAATATAGTGTCAAACTATATTAATTACTACATTCGTGAAAATATTGCACAGCCACATAACCTTACCTCTATTTTGCAACTCCAGTTTGCTATTTTAGGCACTACTTCGAACATTTGAGCAGGTAAAAGTTCTGGACGAGTTTGTCCTTTTTCTGATTAGAAGCTGGTACCCCAGGAACCAAAATAAACATTTAAAAATGTGCAACAATCCACACTTTATAAACTTGTATAACCTGTCTCATCGTTTACTTTTCTTTTGTTTGCCCCCAAACAATCCCACCATTGCGCGCCGCTTCCGGTAGGCGGCGCAAAACTGTATCCGCCGCGAAAAATAGTCCATTGTACAATCTTGCTGTTAGCTAGGTTTTGATAAGCTAGTCAAGCTAACTAGCTAAAGCTATACATTTTGTATCCATCTGGGGAAAACTGCTAGCTTTTCCTTTTTAAATTACATTTTAGTGGTGAGCATACAAATTATGTGCACAAATAATCAGATAAATGACATATTTTAACCTAATTAAAAGATACGTAGCTTATAGCTATTTCGAACAACAAACATGGTGGTTGGTTGAGTTTTACCTGTCCAATACTGAGCTTATACTTGTCATTTCAGCTGACCAGGAATCCAACAGAACTGCTAAGAAACGATTAGCAAACTACATTAAACTTTGCCACCAGCGAAAGTTATTAATACGATCGCGTCTTGTTGTTCTCTCTCATAACTAACTTATCCGATGCGCGCGAATGAATTCTCGACTCGTTCAGGATTGGCCAGCGCTTTCTCGAGCCAGAAGATGATTGGTCCTTCCACAAAWGGTCACTTTATGGCAATTGGTCCTMTTYGGTGCTCTGTTACTAGGTGGTTGTTGAGTTCAAGAAGGCTAGGTAACTTTTTTTCAACTATTCTTTACTTCTGTATTTATTTTGTCGCYTCTGTTCGTTCGGCCAGATCTGACACCCCCACGCTCAGTAGTTCCACACCCCTCTAATTTGGACTCCCCGCTTCGTTCTTCTTTTTTTCTCTGCGTGGTTTTTATTGTTCAGTTYCCTTGTTATGAGCGTCAAAGCAGCTGTGTTGGACCGCTGCTTCTGGTCGCCACCTTCAAAATAAAATACTCAACGATTCTGCTAAAGTTACAAAACAAACAAACGTTCAAATTCACCATCAAGCAGTAAGTAGCACTAAACACGTTATAGATTGCATTAGATTGAACTGTATAAATTAAAATGTAATTAGGTACATTTAAAATATAAAATAATTTTACTAATTTTGAATCTGAGTTGAAAAACATGGGATTGTGGGTAATCAAACATCTGAGCTGCTCATTCATTGAATAGTTTTTCCAAATTTATTGTTAACTGATGTTAGACGGGCTGTATTAATGAAATTGAGATAGACTTAAACATTCATTTTCAAGTGGATCACATTTAGACGTTTGCTACAAATCTCCTTTTCCTTATTTAAGAGGGAACAAACCTTTTTATCAAATTTTTAGCAAAATGTTTCTCAACTGGTGTGGTCCGGCTTCACATTCACTACTTAATGAAAAGTAATGACATCAAGGATAGTGTTTAACTTCTCATAGTATTTATTGGATGAAAAAAAATGGTGCAAACAAAAAGTTAAATAATAAACCAGTACCAATAAACATAGCAAACCAATAAATCAAATAGTCATGCTGAAATGGGAAATATCACCTTTGTGCTYTTGCTGCATTTCACATTAACTTTAGTAATTTTTATTCACTTTATTTACTGGCATAAAGTGGTTTTCAAATACAATATGAMGTTTTTTTATAGACAAAATAATCAATGGAAATGATTAATACATTAACGCCACTACTTAGTGTTTTCTACCATAGATTTTCTGAAGAACTCATTTTCTCAATATTGCAGATATCAGTGCATTTCACTTGTGCAAAAAAAACAACAGATTTTTAATTAGACTTAACATCGTTTCCAATATTTCTTTTATTCTGAAGGGAATGTCCTTGTTTCCGGTGTCACCATCCTTGAGCTCCGATTTGACGCAATTTGTGCGTCAAATGATGGTCAGCGCTGACTGGGACTTTCTCATTTYCACTCCTGCGTTTACGTGCATCACCAGCGGGTTTCCCAAGAAGGAAACAACCACCCGGACAACAGCTGATGGGAGCGTCGGTGATGTTAAACCGTGACCGGATGTTTGTTGTACTTATCAGGGGCGAGACCATGACAGCTTTAAAACACTGATGATTTTGGATGCTGTTACTCTTTTTTTATTTAGCTACTTTTACGTTGAGTCATTAGCATAGCAACACTGTCTTATTAGACGAAAACCCTCCGCGCCATTCACTGGTGGCTGTTTTTGAGTCCGGCAGTGAGGATGGATAACCGGCTGCTGGTTTGGCTCTGCACCGTCGCTGTGCTGTCAGGGACCCGGAGCCCCGCGGCTGCTGCGGGGAGGAGCTGCGCCGACACCCGGCAGGTGTACTCAGAGAAGGGATACAGCACAAACTCCGCTCCGGTGACTCAAATCTCCGGTAAGACCACCAGCTCAGCCCCACTGTTATTATTATTTTTATTTTTTTGTAATGTGCTGTACTTTACTTCACTAATAAAAACAACATACAAGTTGAAGTCAATCACACTGCAGTTATGAGAAATTATAAATAAAAATGCAGCCCTCATTAGTGGACAGCAAATTCTTATTGAAACTGATGTGTCAAAGAAAGAGCAATGTGGCTCTGATTAAAAAAAAAAAAAAAAAAAAAGCCCCAGAGAGAATATGTCAAGACATCATGGTGAGTTTTGTCCCCCTCCTCCAGAGAAACACAACAGAGCTGTTTAAACCAAATTACACCCTCCCCCCTCCTCCCCTCTGTGTGGTTTAAATAGGATGATTAAGGGGATGAGCAAATTGCCAACACCGGTGCAACAAAGAACCTCGCCCCTAATTAGTCTTTGCCYACTGTTTAAATCCATGCATGTATCCATGCTTGCTCATGGGATAAGCTCATTTTCTCCAATAAAGCAATATATTTAAAATATATATATTGTGGATTACAAACAGTTGGATGTTTGAGGGGGGGCTGGAAGAGTGAAAATGTTTCAAGTTTTGTAAAGGATGATTAGTTTTACAAAAAAGAAAGGAGAATCCCTGCCTGAAAATATAGTTTTCATTTTGGCTGAGACACACACACACACACACACACACACACACACACTAACACACACACTAACAGTCCCAGACAGATATAAAGCTGCCGTTAAAGTAATTGTGTGAGGGAAATGTGTGCTCACAGAGGATTTATTCCTCGGCAAATCAGTTCAGCTTCTGAGGCAACTGCAGAATTGATTGATTTTTTTTGTGTGTGCGTTGGACTATCCCCCGTCTTCCTGCTCACCGTCCCGTGGGCCAGGGGGGAGCAGATGGCCAGGAGAGGGGGGATGAAGGGAGGCAGTTTAGAAATGGAAATACAGGGATAGGAACAGGGCCGATGGTGAGACGCACAGACAACAAAAGAGGCAGAGAGAGGAGCGTCAGCCGGGGAGGAGTTGAGAAAGAGACTTTCCAGCRTATTAACAGACGCATATTCATGTCGGATGTAATTATGCCGGAGAAACAAAGACTTATGAGCTGCGTGACATCTTCATCTCCTCCTCCTTGGCTGCTTGTTTGCGCAGATTATTACCTTTAGGACAAATCAGAGACCCGATTTGAGCCGACAAAGAAAGAAAAGTGAAGTCTGAATTATTCATGCAGGCAAATTGCAATTTTCTCTCACAGCCGTCTTTATTTAACACTTTCCTATTAATTTCTCATAGAGACACTGACGCTCGCTAAAAAGTGATCTCATCGTACGCTTGTCTGCATCAAGGTCACTGTAAATTTGTGGCAAAAGCATTACATTTCATGTTTCAACTAAATAGTTTAGCAAAGGGGAAAAATTGCTGGATCAGTATGTTTTTTTTCCCCCAAAAAAAGTTTTATCTTTTGACGTCTGACTAGCATCTCACTAGTGATGAAGAACAACAAATCTCGGCAGTTCAATGTTAAATATTTGGGCAGTCATAACCTTCTTTCTTCTTCTTTTGATGTTTTTTTTTTTTGGCGCAGGTGAGCACCTGCGACTCTGCCCTCAGGACTATACCTGCTGCTCCAGTCAGATGGAGGAGACCCTGTCCCTCCAGAGCGAAAAGGATTTCCTCAAAGCCATTGAGGACAACAGCCAGTTCCTCTTGACCACCTTCACCCAGAGACACCGCAAGTTTGATGGTGAGAGATGAAGTCACTTGGAACAGTTTTATTACGATTATCTGCTTTGAAACAGACAAAACGCGCACACAAACTACTTGTTTATTTTTTTTGAACAGATTAAAAAGCAGTTAATGACATCAAAACCTAATCAGAACATATAAGTGCACAGTTCTGTTCAGATGTTGAAATAGGATCTTCTGAATTGATTTCAAGAATAGATYAGTGGCGCTCAGTCCTGGTCCTCGCGGATCACTATCCTGCATGTTTTATATATTCATCATCCCTCATTTATGCACCTCAGATGAATCAAATCTGAGAAACATTTAAATCGTGCAGGATAGTGGTCCCCGAGGACCAGGGGTTGGGCACCGCCGGATCAGTCCAAGTGTGGTTATGTAATTCATGAATAAAGTGGGTGAACTCAGACTTTATCAACAGAAATATAAATCCACAAGTGAAGCAACAAAGACCCAGATTCGCTGACTAATACACTTTGAAAACCGCGGAGTCTTTTAATTAGACACGTTTTGGCCTTATTAAAGCAGATATTTTCTAAACCTCCTTTGCGGACTTCCTGTTATAAATTTAAACCGTTCAAGCCCAACCTGATCTAACCGCGATGACATCACCGTGACATCTGTTCTCCAGAGCCACTGCCTGTAAACTGACCTTCATGAGTGAAATGAGTTAATTGCCCCTTCAAGTATCTGGAAACTGTGATGGCTTTAATAAGCRCGTGTATTTAAGAGGTTTTAGGCCTCATTAGATTAAATTCTGGTTTTATTGCTGCAGGGTTGCGTAGGGCTGAATTTACACATTCTCCTCCTACCTGCTTGGACCGTTCTCACCTTTTCTTTCCTTCACACTTTTATATAATGTCTGCGATGAGTCACGTAAAGACGCTTAAGATGTGGGAGACTGCATATGAGCGTGAAAGACGCTGTAAAATAGAGGATCTGAACTCCCGATAAGATGGATAATCTTAAAATGATGAAAGCGCCTTTACAGAAACTGGGCTGAAATCAAAAAGTAGTGGGGGTGTGTGTCACATTCACATTTAACTGCAGCTCGTGTCTCTTTGCAGATTTCTTCAGGGAGCTCATAGACCTTTCTGATAAGTCCATGAACCAGATGTTTACCAAGACCTACGGCCTGCTCTTCACTCAGAACGCTTACGTCTTCCAGGAGCTGTTTGTGGAGCTTCGCAGATATTATTCTGGTTGGTTTGATCCCTTGATCCCAGTCTCGTATTTTCCGGTGGCCTTCATACAGAGGAGTGATTCTGCCTTAAAATACTTTGTGTTTGACGYTTCGACCATCGTTTAGGAAGAATAACATGTTTTAAAAAGAATACAGCAAAATAAAAAATGTAAAATAAAGTCCGGTTAAAGATAATAATTTGAGAACAGCTGCTGTTTTAGTAAATCCAGAGTCATACTGGACAGCAGTAAAGAAGCAGCATTGTTTTTTTTAGAGGAGCGCTGACATGCCAAGTCGAATTGGGGAGAAAGAAAAAAAAAAAAACAAGGAGAAAACTGGATTCCCACGGATGCCAGACTGTTTCTAATTCTATTCCATATCGCCCCGTTTTGGCATGACAGCCGTTTGCTGGCAAGTTGGTTTGCAGGCTGTTGCCGCTTAGTCATCCTGCCTTTGTCAGCCAAACAGCATGTTTGTCTAATTTAAGGCCGTATTGTAGACTGCAGATTGTACAGTCGCAGACACTGACAGGCACCCAAA